GCCCAGACCAACCACCTCCCCTCCCCATAGGGGTTCGGGGGCAACTACGCAAGCTGAGCGGACGAGACACATGGGTGATGGCAGTCACAGGGGTGGGGGGAGGAGGGGGAGAAGGAGGGGGGCAGGCGGCGAACCAACCCACGGCAAGCAATGGGCACGTCCAACTGAGGCAGGGGCAACTTGCCAGAGTAGACCCGGACGTCTACCGAGCAGCCACCGTGGTGCCACTAGCCAAACCCGCGCCCAAGCCAAGCTATGGCCAATACCAAGAAGGAGGGGCGAGCAGCTCTGGACACCAACACGCACCGCCCACACCCCCCATCCATCCACGGACGCGGGGGCGAACCCTACGCCAGACCAACAACCAACACCGAACCAACAGCAACCCGAAGCACCCATGCAGCAGCCGCCGGGTGGACCAGGACAGGAAGAAGAGGATGAGGACGCGCTGCTGGTGCAAAAAGCACGAGGCAGAGGGGTGGGGCGAGGAGGAGGGCGTCGGTTGGGGAGAGGGAGCAAGAGGGGGCGTGAGGCAGCACCTGCGCAAGAAGCCACCAAAAAGCACAAGCCCAACCAAGAGCAGGACAGCTGGGGGGCAACCACGGCGAACACGTATATCCACGCGGCCCTGGATGCACTGCAGTCGCACAACCACACACAGACAGCCACCAGCGCCAACCACAGCACGGCTGAAGCCACGGCGCTGGCAGCAGGCAGGCAGCACCTCCGCGCGGCCCTGCAGTGCCTGAGCGCCCTGCGACCAGAGGGCGACGAACACGGGGGGGCGGAGGACGAACCACAAGGGGAGAAGGCGGAGGAAGGGCAGGGGAGCAGCAGCAGCACTGGGGCGGTGGCAATCCAGCAACTACCGGGGCCCCTCACGCACCACACAGAAGGGGGCGAACCGCCCATCCAACCAGCACCCACCACGGAACAACACACCCACGAAGGGACCGCCAAATTCGAAGAGGCCATCCGGCTGGCCATTCACGTGGGGCAGGGATGGGAGCAGCTCACGCTGGAGGAGAGGGTTCAAGACATAGGGGCCATACTAGGGCTGCTGAGGCAGGGAAGGAGGTGGCTTGGGGGTCAGGAGGACGAGCAGCTGGCCGGCGGACACGCTAGGGCTGGCAGCGGGAGGGGTAGAAGCCACGGGGGGAGGAGGAGGGGGGGCGGCGTTGCAGGCCAATATCCACCCAGCACTCCGAGCACGCCGCATCCTGAGAGGGCTGCTACCCTTCACACACGGGGAAATCCAGAAAAAAAGTGGGGAAGGCGCTCCAGGCCATCGACGACTGGAGCACGCAGCTGTGGGGGGACGAACTCCTGGCAATAGAAGACACACCTGCAGGGGGGCCGGCGGAGGAGGAAGGGGGGGGAGGGTTGACGGAGATGGGGGAAGGCACGCGCCCACCGCAGCTACACCCACACCCACAGCACCAACCAAGGGGCAACCACCAACACCGCCAACACCAAAGCGTCGAGGGGCGAGAAGAGAACTACGATGGTGGAGAAGACGGAGCACTACTACATGATCGTGACAATGGCACTGAGGAGATTGCGGCAACCTGTGCAGGTGGGGAAACGGGGGTGGAGGGCGAAGGAGGAGGGGACACGACAGCAGCTGGGCAGGGGCCTGAGGCAGTGGTGCCATACCGGCAACAACACCACCACCACCACCACCACCAGCAGCAACACCTTCCCAGCGAGAGCTCCGTGGGGGTACACCACGAAGGGGGGGGGCACTGGCTGTGCAGGGGGACTTGCAAGCCACACAAGCCACGCAGCCCTGGACACCACCGCCACTGGGGCCTCTAGCCAGACTACAAGAACCGATGAGGCGAAGATGGGAGGCGCAGAGGGGGTGGGCAGCCAACAGGAGGAGGTCCAAACAAAGGAGAAGGATGGGATTCGGGCAGCGCGCGAGAAGATCCCGGAGTGGGGCACAACGGCGGCGACGCACAAGGGCGGCTGGGCCACTGGAACTGAGAGGAGACCCTGAGCACAGGCGTAGACGCGCGCATGCAGGCCTAGAGTGAAGTGAAGGGGGCTGGGCGTAGGCAAACAGGTAAGGCTACTGGGGGCGTTGTGGGGGGGGGGGCTGTTTTTGACTCTTTACCTGGGGGGCCTGCCTACGTGCACAGTCTCACACAGCATCCTGAGGGCTAAAGGGGGGTAGTTTCGGAAGGACCTTCTGGAGGTTTAGGTTCTTGGGGGTAGGGTTTGGAGTTGCGCAGCCACCAGGGTGTCACCACGTAGCCACCAGAGAAACCTCCATAACGGGCAAGTCGAAACACTTCGGAGGAGTTTCACCATGGTCTGGGGCTAGGGGGAGGTTGCTTTCGGCAGGTTCATGGGGGCTTTAGGCTTTGAGCTGGGGGTTGGGGAGGCCACCTGTTTGAGTAACCCAGGAAAGCTGGCCCGCACGCCTCGAGGGGACTTGTAGGGGGTTGCCTAAGTTGTAGCTCGGAGAGGTAAGCATGGAGAGGCGTGGGGGGCGGCCTTGACCGAGCCAGTCTCACATGTGTGTGCCAAGCCCAGGTCGAAGAGGGTGAGTAGTGGGGTACGTGTGTGCTAAGTGGTTTAGGCAAGGAGTGCGATCCGGGGCTGGCAGAGCCACAGGTACAGCAGTGGCTGCTTTGAGTAGGCGCGAAAGGAGGTGAGGGAGCACAGCAGGGCCATATGGGGCAGCAGCAGCAGCAGGGGGGGGACTGGGGGCGCAAGGGTCCCGTGCTCGCTCTCCTCCGAACAACCCGACCAAAGGCCCCCCGAATACCGGGGCGGGCGAGAACGCCCGGGGGCTTGCCCCCATGCCCCCAAGAAAGAAAGAAAGGAGGAAGAGGAGAGGGAAGAGGAGAAGAAGAAGGAAGAGAAACCACGTGACAGAGTTTCTGGAACCTCATGACGAGCCCGAAGTAGCACCAAACACTGAAGCATCGACTGGGACAGGAGCCGAAGATCTCGCGAGATTCCTTCAGCTTCAGTCAGGAACATAGTCAGATTGAGGCATGTGGAGGATATCCCGTTCTTTGTCGAATTGTGCCGTAGGTCTGATCGACGGATGCCGCTGCGACCCAGATCACCGAATTTGCCTTTGGGCTTGCTGCTTCCTTCCGCAGGGATGCCCAGAATAAGCATTGCGAATCGCAAGCGTACGAGAGGGTCTCAGCATGGCAGGATTCGATGGGCAGACACGGCCAGCTCGCCGAAGGTCAACTTCATCAGATACTGGCCAGGCTGGCAACATGCTGCTGACAAAGCTAAACCAAAGCTTTCAACAACTCTTCCTGCGAAGCCAGTAAGCGCCCCCGTCTCTCTCTGCCAACTGCTTAGGGAAGCTTGGAATCTAGCAGCGAGTGTATTGCAATATCTCGTAGCTCTCAGTAAAGTTGCTGTGTTCTTTGTGCTGCTTTGCCACCGATACACTCCAGCCTTACGCTCAGAACCTTTGTCTTGGCCCGGAACACTGACGACATGACATTTCACAGAGGCGTTATAGCAATTTGATAGCAATTTGGAACGCGCTCTTGATCCATAAAACCTTAAAAGGTGTGCACCATGCGGCAGGTTGTACTATTTTCCCATCATACCATGCCACGACCTCTACCCATCCCTCCGGCTCATCCTGGCGCCAGCCGAAGAGCACCACCCCAGAAGGTATCAAGCTAGGCCGCAACTGTTCGACTCGGCACAGGCATTCTGACGATGACTCTCCTTTTCAGCCTCATCAACCTTTCGTGCTGGGCTGAGCGTGTGGGCCGCTCTTTTGGGGCGATGCTCTGTCGATGCTCGGGCCAATGAGCGTTCAATGCATCTTGCGCAGGTACGGCGTCACGGCCGTGCTGGCCCTCATGCTTATGGTGCTAAATCGCCAGAGGATCCGAAGCACTTACAACTTGCCGCACAAGACGTTCCCGACTTAAAACTCAACGGAGCATTGAAAGCCTTACGTGCCCCAAAATAATAAATGATGCACATCTCTGTCAAGGTGTTCCACTTGCTCGCTGGATTGCCTCACCTGGTGCAAGCCCTTGGGGGTGCTGCATGTAGGAGGACTTGATAGGCAGAGGAGAAGCTCCAAACAGCTAAGGAAGTGTAGGAAGGCAGCAGCAGAACCAAAACACTGAACTTGAAGACCATGAAGCCCAACAAAGTACCCTGTGATGCATGGTTGCTCCGGAAGTTCTCGGAGTGGCCCGCCAAGTCAAGGGAGAAGCATGTCTCTCCATCTGTCTAACTCAAATGTACCGCATGCACTTGCCCACTTCCCCGTGCAAACCCAAGGTTTTTTTGCCCACCCTGCGTGCAGGTCTCGGTTAGTCTCAGTTAGTCCCAGTTCGTGTCTGTTAGTGCTGCTCGTCTATTTCATGAGTGGACACGCAGCTTTGTGGCCCGGCGGTGGCTTGGACCCAGGCAGCCATGCAGGAAGCATTGCAGGTGGAGTTCATCGACAGTGCGATGGATGCCACTGCATCTTGGCAACATGAGGGATCTGAGAGGTTCTGTGAGAGATTTGAGGATATGCCAGACTCTGCCAGATGCACAGGTTCCGAACATGATGCAGATGGGCCCGCCACCTCCTCAGACTGGTTTGTTCCGGAAGAGACTCTTCAACAGTGCTCCAAGAGAAAACCAGCAAGGATGAACAGTGCTTTCCTGACGGCCCCGGCCACAGGTGCATTGCACCGTGCATCCTTGGCTTCTCTCAACTTGTAGTAGGGCATTTTTCGGAGAAAGGTACGGGAGGCTTCGTGCTTGTGCCAGGCCAGCTTGCTGCGGGACAGCGGAGACAACAGAGCTCATGCTGCTAGTGAGGCAGCGGACAAGTCAGGCACCCAAACGCGGCGCAAAAAGTCTACCAGCCGCCAGTCAAAATGTACCTGGCATGCGCAATTGCGCAATAGCTGGTAGCTGTGAGTCTGCAACGCATCGAGAAATTGGACGGAAGGCCGTGAAGATAACTTCCAACATCTAGCTGTATTTGAGCTGTATTTGGCCAGGCTCAGCAGCTGCTAGCCGCTGAGAGTGCGAGGGTTGGGACTGACAGGGTCTGCCAGACTTCTTCTGAAGAAGCGCTTTCGGCACGCCAGCAGGTTTACAGAGACGAGCTGTAAGCACTGTAAACCCCACTGCTTGTTGATGCCCCCTGGCTATGCACAGCATTCCAAGGCGTCAGCGGTATCGAAGAGATGATGACGGAATTGGCGTGCCTCGGTGTGCCTAAGGAGCTCGCGTTCCCTACTAGTTCCATGAAGACTCGACATCTTGTCTAGAAGCCGCCCACATGCAAACTGTGTAAAGCTCTTAGAACCATGAGGTGGCCTTGAAAAGAGCTGAGGGCCGGCCACTCAGGAGCCCTTCGGAGCCCTTCTGTTGTTTTTTTGCCTTCCGGCACCGCTTGGAGTGCACCCCAGCGTACCCCAGCTTACGTTTTGCCATCGTGGCATAGCAGAGTTCTTCCGTAGGTGTTGCATCGCTTCTTGCTCTCACAGGCCCGCTGTTCACCGAGCACACAGAGGTGGACCCTGTCCTCGGAGAGCGTGAGGAGAGACGTGGTACTTGTATCTCTGTGTAGTAGTGCTGTCCGACGTGCACATTGCCAGAAAGGCCTTGTGAATGATGCGGGGCCTAGTTGTGTCATTTCAACTGAACCTTCATGTAAGTGTGACCTTTGTGGTAGGTGCAGCAGAGAGGTCTTGACAAAGCGACACATCCCTGTTAGACTTTGCTACTTTGGGTCATGGTGGCTGCCAGATCAGTGCGAGAGCATCATCGATCACCACAGTAGACGTGTCTTCTTCATGCTGACAGCAGGATCGATCAGGATCGATCCAGGGCTTGCGAATAGCCCAGTAGCCTGTGCAGGACAGCTCCGCTGAGGAGGAAGAGCACCACCGGCATTGCTTTGTTGGAGTGGCTTGATGCCTTTGATTGGAGCCTTATACCATCATGGCATGGAAGGCTTCCTGGCGATTTGAGGCTGCCAATGCGTGCTATGACCTTAGCAATGCATGTGCCACGATTTTCGGCTCATGGAATGGGTGCGTCTTTAGCAAGCTGCACCTATCTAGCAGTGGAAGTTGGCCTGATGCAGGAGGAGCTTTCTCAGCCCCGCTGGCATGAAGAGGTGTGGCCTGGCAGGGTTGATGTTTTGCTGGCAAGTCGTCTGCCGTAAGCTCGTATTCTGTCACGCTTCGCCACATGGCAAAAACAAGCAGGAGGGCTGGTACAAGCAGGCGTGGCGGTGTGATGCGGTGTCATGCAGTGTGAGGATGCCAGGTCTTCATTTCATGAACATGCCCGTCTGCCATTCTCTGTCAGGTGGCTTTCTAGTTTTGGGGACTGGTGGGAATGGTGGGAACCGTCACATTAAGTCATCGTAAGTCTTAAGTTTGAATGATGCCGCTTTGCAGCTCTGCAGTACTTTGCAGTGCTTTGCAGGAGAGGGAGTGGGAGTCGCAGTCGTGGAACCAGCAGTGGCAGGGATGGCCAGCGGAGGCACGGGCCGCATGGACTCGCGATCTTGGCGAAACCATCTCTCATATTTTGACGCGAGCTTGCACAGAGCCATCGTCGAAGCTTCTGGTTGATGCAGGAGTCAGAGCGCTGGGTCATCGTCTCAGTTCTGTGAGTCAATCGACAGCCCTGGCTACTAACACTCCTGCTTGCACGCTCCAAACTGTCAGCTGCAGGGCAGTGGCTGGGATGATCGTGAGGCGTCCCCCCGTTTCACGCCGTGACCGGCTCAGAGTAAACACTCGTGCAGGATGCCAGTCAACGACAGTCCTGGGGTCATTCGCAGCGCCAGAAGGCTCCAACTCAGACAGTCGGAGACTCATTCGCGCAGCCCTGATGTTGATTTTTGTTTTATTGGTCGTGTGTCAGGACACAAGAGGGGCAGTCGAGGACGAATTTGCAGCCCTTTTGAACCTGCACAAGCTGCCTCGTCAGGAGACATGTGTCGAGAATCGTTGGACACCAGTTCTTGGGTGCAACGACAGTCAGGTCTTTCACGTTGTGTCGAGGAAGCAAGAACAACAACTAGTGCCGGTGCTGATTACGCGGACGGGGATGCCACTGCCAGGGTGGAGGCATGGCGCTATGCACTAAGCTGTCGGCGCCCATCGTGAAGAGTTGTGGCCCTGAGAGGCGAGGCAGTCTGATGATACGCCAAAGCAGAACCGAGAGCATCACCAGCGATCCGTTCCTTGACTTTGATTATCGGGTCCATGCTCCATAATGCGTGCTCTATAATGCATATCAAAATGCATGTTCTGCCTGCCTTAACTTGCGTTGGTGGATGTCAAGGCACCACAGACCGACGCCATCGAGGCCCGGGTGTGGCTGCCCTGCCTTGAGCTGTGCACGCTGGCTGTGGGTCGGAATTGGACTTGGGTATATCTTCAGGTATAACAGTGGTATCACTGTGTTGATGCTAGCCACAATTCCGACGGCGGAGTCTTGATGCTTGCTTTGCGTTCGGGTGATCTTCGATCCTTCAGCCGGCCCTAGGTGTCCTTGAGTCGTAGTGTTCAGCCGGAGCATCCTTGATGGCAGCTGTTCTCGCAAAGCTCGTAGCCGCGATTCTTTTGCACGAGGGATCAGATGAAGGTCCATTAGAGTGTAGGATGTATTGAGGCATATCATATCGCAGCCCTGGGGGTTTACAGCTGCGGTTCCCGGTTTTCAGATTCCATCCAACAGCATTTACGGCATATATTGCCAATATTGCGCAAGTACGACTGACCAGTTGGAACCTAGGCCAACACTGCGTCCGGAGCGTGCAAGCGCACAGCGCCCCGTTCACACACGAAAAGGCACAATTTGTCTCGTGTTGTCGTCACTTGGGAATTGGGAGGGCGCGTGCGCTCATCTCGGTTGTGCATCCTTCGACACCTCTTGCGGCCCTGTTGGGGCGATGCAGTGTCACGCTGGCAAGCACCGCTCTACAAACACATGCTTCTCCTCGCTCTTTTTTGTGCGTGTTCTCACAGCCGGTGGGGGGCTCTACCTGGCTCTACACCTCTGATGCTACTGTGGGAGAACTCGCAGTAACAGCTGCATCTCAAACATCACGGCCGTGACCAGTGGACCGGTGCAGCAGAGTCCAGTTGCTCAGAGGGCTCCCAAAGGGCTCCCAAAGGGCTCACTATGAACCTGACGATCACGCGTAGCTGGCGTAGCTTTTCTCCCCGAGCAGGGGGGGGAACCCCGGAAAGAGTTGACACGGGTGTAAAGCCCCACTGAACTTCACTGAACCTTCGCCAAATGTGAAAACCCATCCCTTCCAAACTCCAGTTCCCCTTGTGCCAGACTTGGGTACCGGGGCAGAAGCTCATGGTTCGGCACAAGTTCGATGGCAAGGAGAAGCTCGGCCAGCCTATGACAAACTTTGGACTGTCGAGCAACCAAACTGTAGATGGCAGGATCGATGTATGTATGTACCTATGTATATGTTTACGCGAAGCGTCGTATAGCTTCAGGGCACAGAGGCAATCAGTTTCATGCAAACATGTGTGGTTGCCACCACTCACTACTTTCCAATCAACTCATTGGCTCACTCATTGGCTCATTGCCTTCGGTGGGGTCGCACAAGAAAAGTGTGAAACCAAGGTACGGGGACAACTACCTGGTCCTTCAGAAGGGCGATATCCTCAGATTTGTGAAAGAGGCCCATGGGCTTCAGCACAAATCTAGGGCAGCTCAAGCTCGAACTGTAAGGTTGAGAGAAGGGGCGAGGGGAATTCTCATGATTTTTCGGTTCCTGAGAGTCTGCAGGAGCAAGACTGGGCCTTCTGCAAGCGTGCCGGACACCAAGCATGGAGCCAGCAGCCAGGAGTTCCTGAGCATTTGAACACATGACCAAGGAGGAGCCTGGCCCTGGACCTAGCGAGGGATGGTCCCGAGACTGAGTTCATGTAGCCAGAACCCAGCACTTGAACTCATTTGATGGATTGATGGGCTTGTTGGTGGGCCTTGTTCACACTCATGCTGCAGGTTTCCGCCCAACTTTGCGCAGAAGGCACCGTGACAAAAGTGCCATCTCGTGACATGAGCTGCAGGAACTCAGGGATTCAGTTGGCTTACGCCAGGCAGCCCCAAGTTTTCGATCTAGCATCGCACTTTTTTGAAGGCCACTCTGTATGTGTAATTTCCAGCACGCAAGTCGCAAGTAGTTCTTCGGCTTTTTCGTGCCACAAAGTCCACACAAATTCATAAATATCTCTTGCATGAATATTCAAGAACAAGCCGCTGTGATCACAATCAAAAGATTAGGTGATTAGGCTTTTTTGGCACCCTACACGGTTCCAAACACAGGTTCCAAAACGATGAGCCCATGGCCGTTACTTCTGCGTGCATAAAGTCGACAAGAATAGATGTGTTACCTGGTTTCATTGAATTCTCTTCACAAGTAGAGTCAACTTCCAAACAAAAACACATCGATGACGAAGGCCGAAAGCCCAAGCCCTCGACGCCCTATTATTATAGCATACACTGTTAGAGTATACTTTCAAGTGACTTGAAGCTCTGAACCTCAACCGCCCAAACCCTGTCCTTCAACCCTAAGGCTTGAAACCCCGAAAATGTTGGGTCGGCTGTGACTTGCTAGAAAGCATCAGGGAGGGAGCAGAGACATGTGAGTGCATCCGGCTGGCTCTGTCCATGCTTCACGTACCTTCGCGATACATCCAAAGACAAGGTACATGCCAGCAATAAGAAAGCCTGGGAACCCTAGCCAACTCGGTGACTCCACGGTCCACGTTGCTATGGACACTACGACACTAGCAAGAAAGCCAGAATCGCAAAGGTTGAGAAGGCGGTTTCATAGTCTCACGAAGGATTCAAACCAGCCACAACCGGTTAGTTCGCTACACCATAATTCCCATGAAGCCTGCGGTCAGACACCGGACAAGGCCGGCTTCTTCGCGTTGCTCCATGCTTTCGAGCACCCTGCTACGCATCCCAGCACACTGTAGGCATGCGATTGACATCCAAGTCGCTTCTGCAAGCGTGGGGCCTAGTTTGTGCGGTGGCATGGACACCCTTTCCCTGCTGAAGCTTGTTGAGTGCGAATTCCTGAGGTTTACCTTCTTGTACTCATACAGCACCAGGCACCCTGCATGACAAAGCTTGTAACAGGATACACGATTCGTACCAAGGGTAGCAATGCAAGCTTCTACTTGGATCCGAGCCCGAGGTCTGTGCATATGACTTGGCCTTCTATCACCACTACCCGGATGTTCGCTGCCCAGAAGCATCGACAAAGGCAATCAAGGCGGTGCCTAGCCCTTTTGCCCCCCAGAGAAGAGTTGCCTCGAGTTGTGCTAAGAATGTGTCGATCTGCTTCCACTACGGAATCAGCTCGCAGCTACTTTCCTCTGTGGGGTCAGGTCCTCAGCCACAGAGGGGCCTTCCGGGCTTTCAAAGGAGCTGTAGCTTCGTGTCACTGAGGCCGCTCTCCTTCAAGGATGTCGGCTACGCGCGTGCTCTCCCCAATGCCATGACATGGAGCTGCATATTGGAGCAGATTCCATCGCAGCAAGAATCAACCAGAACCTTGAATCGCTTAGAAATCGAGACAGCCGTTGGCCAGAGCTTCGTGCATGTCACTACCTGAGATTCCAACAGCTCTGTGGCAACCGGATGCAGTTCTAGAATTTCTGCGGCAAGGTCGATGCCACACTGGCCGGAGAGGCGTCCAGTGGCATCTTCGCATCGGATTCATTAAGGGCTTAGTCTTCAATCGTTGAGGAGTTTGTTGATCTCACTGGCAATCCCACACTTTCTGTCAGAACTGCTCCACATCTTCGCCGTCGCTGGTTGGAGCTCAAAGAGCTGGGGCCTTGTGCCTCATTTCGGGCATCGCGTGGGTTTCCACACTTCTGCTAGGCCCCTTTGCTGGAGAGCGCATCCAACATCTTCGGATTGACAGCTGGAGCCTGAGCATGCTCGGCGCAAAACGAGCTTTAAGATTCTGGAAGTCCCTTGACCGCCGAGGCGGCCCAGGACAACTTGCAGCAGTTCATGCTGGTGGCCTATCGAGGCCAGGAACGGGGCACATGGGGCTGCTTATGTGGAGATGTGTGGAGTTATGTCCCGTGATATCCTATGTTTCTACCCTGCAGGTAGTCCTGAGATGCCTGCGGGAAGCCCAGAGTTGCTAGCCGACACTCAGATGAGAGATCACCGAAGCGTGCGTGTCTCATCGTGTCTCATCGTGTCTCCATAATATCGCTGCAGCCAGGTCGCCGTCGACCACGCCGCGTTGAGATTCAGCAATGAAGGGTTCGGCGGCGGCGGCGGGCTCAGTGCAGGAAAGTTTCAAGTCCAAAGAGGAGCTTGCCGTAACAGCTGGATCAGGTACGGAATGCATGGGAGAGCCGGGGTCCTGGCTATTCGGGGACATGCAACTTGTCTACGGGCACGATCATCACCTCAGGATTATCGTCTCCGGAGGAAGCCGGAGCATTGCCGTGAGCTTGGAGATGAAGCTGAGGAGCCTTGAGCCACCTGAAGCGGGCTTGAGCAAAAGCTGAGGTTGGACGCCTTGCACCTGGTTCTGGCAAGCAGGTTGGGCCCCTCCCCCCCCAAAAGAAGGGGGGACTTCCTAAGGGGCAATCGGGCCAGAAGCCTCGCGCGGGAAGGTTTCGCTCGCCTGTGCTGCCGTCGAGAAAGGGCCAACAGCCTTGTCGTTCAACTGCGGCGGGGAGGCCTTTCCGCACCCACACGATTCCACGCCTGCTCTTCGTGGCATCTTAGTATCCAGTATCCCCTTTTTTATGATGGACAGATCATACAAGACCGCAACCTTGCTGTACAGGGAGCTTGTTTTTCATGCTGTGGCTCCGCCGACAGGTTGTCACGCACGATGTTGCCACTGGATTGGGGTCCGTGATGTGTCCGGGATCTACACTTCAGGCTGGGCGGCGCTATGTCATGTCCCATGCTTTCTCTCTCTCTCTCTCTCTTTTTCTCTCTTTTTCTCTCTTTTTCTCTCTTTTTCTCTCTTTTTCTCTCTTTTTCTCTCTTTTCTCTCTTTTCTCTCTTTTCTCTCTTTCGTTCTCTCTCTCTTTCTCTCGCTTTCTCTCTCTTTCTCTCTTTTTCTCTCTTTCGTTCTCTCTCTCTTTCTCTCGCTTTCTCTCTCTTTCTCGCTCTTTTTTTTTTCTCTCTCTCTCTCTCTCTATCTTTCTCTGTTTCCTTCTCCCCCACTCATCCCCGCTCTACCTGCTCATCTGAGTCGATCTCATCCCTCCCACTCCCTGTCCCGGTTCTCTGGCCCAAGACTGGGAGCCAAATCAAACCAGGCGAATCCCGGCGGTGCATGCGACCTGCAAGAGCATCAAGAAGCTAGAAGTGCCTTGAAGTCTCAATCCCAAGAAGGCTCCCTCAGACCCAACTCCAGAGCGGAGCACGAACAACACTCGATGGTGACCTTGCTGCATGCCCGCAGTCTGCGACACAAAGCGTAGACCGACAGGTATCGCTTGTTGGCCGCTTCGGGCTGAACAGCGCAGTTGCCTCACGTGCTGAAAACGCTGTTGGGACTGGAATTGTCTGCGGAATTCTCCGGATGTGCACAGAAGGGCACTGAGTCATGCAGCCGCATGTTGCTGAGACCTTCGGGCCGTCGGTGCAGCTCGTGAGTGGCCGCTCTTGCTCGTGTGCCGAGAGCCGCGGTCTCGGAGCCAGTCTGCTATTCTCTGCTTTCGACCAGCTGAGTTTGGTCATATTTGTTCTCCAGGCTGCCAACCTGCTTGTGCTGTTGCTTGGACTGAGAGAGCCACCGAGCAGTCCTCAGTCAGACAGTGGCACTTGCCCAACCATGGAAGGAACTTCAAACTTTGTGAGATGGGTGTTTTGACACGTTCTGCGGCCTAGGTCAGCAGCCTGCTGCTGTTCTTGCTTGTGACACAAGCTGTCCGACCAACCAGGTGAGAGAAATTCTGATCGCGAGCAGCCTTGCAAGTCCTGCAAGCTAAGCGAAGCAAAAAGGTACACTCTTTCAGGCTGCCCGAACAGCTCGTCTCACCAAAGGGCAGAATCAGTTGCCTCCGGGTCTTGTGAATTGCAAGGCGGATCGACCTCAGCAGTCTGAATATCAGCGCTGATAGAAAACATTCCCTTTTGTCCCGTGGCTTCGGTGAGTGCTGATTTGCGATGGATCCCTCCAGCTGGCCAACGACTGGCAATTGCAGGGGTCAAGTCTCGACGCGTTGATCTCGAGATTCTGGTCTGTGATTTGCATGTGTTTTAAGCCTGCGAGACAGCAGATCCGCGAAAGAAAGGGCAGCATTCCGCGAAAGGAAGCTGCAATTCCGCGAGAATGTTGTCATCACGTACTTGTGTGCTACGAGCACGCCCGCATTCTGCTCTGACTGTGACTCATGGTCGTTATCAGAACTCCCTCCGAGGTGACTGCGACGAACGCGAGTAGAATTTCAATGAAAGTGATACTGCCCTTTGCCGCGAGAGTTTCTGGATGCACTCGGTGGTGACAAAACCCTATTCAGTCGGCATTGTCGCCGCCTTGAGGAGTTGGAATGGGTCCCGCGCTGAATGGCAGCCAGCGTGTGATGGCCCAGAACGCTGCGCAAAGTGTCCGTGGGCATCGTGGCCATCCGGTTAAAGCCACACACCGAACGTCATAGCATCATAGCGTATCACGCAATGAACGTACAGTGGCCAAGATGGCGGGCCATCCTCCGAAGACCATGGCGCGGAGTCTAGAACCCCGCTAGCTGTTTCATGTTTCAGCTGTGTTTGACTAGAGGAACGTATCTCGGCACCCTGAAGCCGGGCATGCCTGGCCTCGCAGGCCTACTGTGAAGAATTTTTCCGACCCACCCTCCACGCCCCCTGGGAGTTTCAGAGGAAGGGCTCGCTGTCCTGCAGTTCTGCCGCGCCGGTACCGGGCACGCCTTACCCACACGATGTGGAGCTGCGTTGCGACCGGGCCTTGAGCACGTTAGCACATATGCAGCTACTCCCGGGACGGAAACGCCGAGTGCGCGCGCTGCATGCGCCTCCCTT